CCTGCATCCACCAATGCGGTCCTTTTTACTGCTGGGGATGGCAGGACGTGGTTCTGTCCTCTCCATGCCACAGATGCAGTTAGCTCTAGAAAGTCCAGCTTTTCTCTAGATTTTAACTGACTGATACAGAAAAATAACAGTGGAGGTCAAATTGCACAGCAGCCAGAAGTGTTTTCATCCATTTAGCCATTTCTCTTTCACCCGCTATGGCAGAGAGGCCACCAAAGAAACTGGCCAAAAGTCCAAATTCATTTCTTTTAAATGATTTTCATTTACTCAGTTTATATGGCTCACAACAGCCCACACACCGAGTTCATCTCCAAAGCCCTGTTCTTCGCTGAGACTCTAGAGAGTAAGACAGCGCTCCCCACCGACGCGTACCTGCAAAGGCCATGCAGACATTGTCATCCAAAGCACAGATCTTCCGCACTGTTCTTTCATCCTGCAGTTTGGCCACTGACTTCTTCTCCACACCAAGGACAACAATGTCCCTTCCTCGAACACCAACCTTTAATTAAGATCCACAAACCACGTAAGAAAGTGACACGAGTGCTGGGTGCAGTGGCTCCTGCCTGTAATTCCAGCACTTTTGGAGGCTGAGGTGGGTGAGTGGATGACTTGAGTTCAAGAGTTCGAGACCAGCATGGACAACATGGCAAAACCCTGTCTCTAAAAAAAGTACAAAGATTAGCCAGGCGTGGTGGCTCAAGCCTGCAGTCCCAGCTACTCTGGGGGCTGCTGGGAGGATCGCTAGAGCCTGGTAGGTGGAGGCTGCAGTGAGCCATGATGGCTGGGAGACAGAGACAGCAAGACCCTGTCCCCTCACTCCACCCCACCCTCCCAAAACGAAGTGACACATGGCTCTACTGCCGGCAGCAAGCACCAGGAGCAGATGTGAACCTTGGTCCTGGGGGATGCGCACTCGGGGTAGCAGCTCCCACTGGAAGGTGTGTTCACCCATGCCCCTTTCTCCTCCACTTGTCTGTCACTGTGGTTGGCACCACATCCTGCAAACCCAGGGGCATTCATCTACTGCTGGTAGAGCTAGCCCAGGCGTGCTCACCTAGGTGCCCAACCTGCGCCTTTCAAATGCTGAGATGTAGTTTTAGTTACAGCATAACTAGTAAGTAACCATTATATAATCGGCATGTGTTTCCTTTCAACCCAATGAATCAAACAGTCCCATGCAAAGCCTGGAAGCCTCAGACTTTCACACTTGAATCTGGTGTTCTGAAGGCAGTGTTTCTGTAGTTGTGAAATTATATTGAGCCACAATGCACTGTTTCCTGCACTGTGACATACTCATGTGACAGCCGTGGGAAGGGGCCTGATTTGCCACCAGTGGACAAGGTGTCAACTGTTATCCCAAATTGTTTATGGCTGATACTAGAGAAGGATGTAGCTGTTACTAAAAGCACCGACAATCACTGACAGTCAACCCCGAGTCAAGCCAGAAACAAAGGGAACCATCATTGGGATAAACAGCGGCTCCTGGTTTAGAGCAGGGGCTTCTCCCGCTTAGCTGTGAGCACCTGGGCAGGCTGATCTCACTGTTCCTGCCGCCCTGAGCACGGGTGGGATATTGAGCAGTGTCCCTGGCCTCTACCCTCTAAATGCCAGGAGCACCTCTGCAAGGTCTTAGACCACTAGAGAAGTCGCCACACACGGCCAGTGGCCCCTGTGGGCACAAAACCATCCCTGGCTGAGAAGTTCTGGTCTCAAGTGTTTGGGTTTTCCGGGAGCTTTCTCAGGTACTGACTCGAGGCCCAGAGAAGCTACATGGATTTGTTCAAGCCAGGTGCAGCCAACTGGCGGAGGTGGGAGTATTGGGGTCGAAGGCAGGGGTCAGCCGACTCCTAGTGCTCTTTAAGCTGACTTAGATCACCTGATGAATAACTGGGCCTTCATTTCAAAACAAAGATTCAGAAAATGAAAACAATTCAAAATTTACAGAACCGTGTGTGCTTGCTTTGCCTGCTCAAACCTCTGAATACCAGGTGGTAAAAGAATAACGATCTCACAGGCTGACCAATAAAACTGACACGTCTTGATGCTACGAATTTAAGTTTCAAACAATGTCACTAAGGTCAATGTACACGAGCCCTCGTCAAAACTGAAACGGCCGTGTTCAGACCAGTCCTGACCCGGGCGGCTGCAGCCCGGCCCCGGGAAGGCTCCTTCCGGCAGAGTGCAGAGACCCGGGAGGCGCCCGCCACCGGCCAGACCAGCGAGCTGCTTTGTTCCCGAAGCCCACCTGGGCCTAGAGAACAAGTGTTGCCCTGGGACGGGTGGGGGTCCCCGTAACGGGGGACTGAGCAGTTCGTTCCCCAGCCACCCGGCTGCGTGAACAGCCCCCAGCGAGCGCACAGTCGATCCCCCGCGGCCTGCAGCGGCCCTCGCCCGGCCTCTGCAAACCGGGTCGGCGATGCGACCCACGCGCCCGGCCGGGGCCAGGGGTGCCCAAGATGGCGTCGCCACGGTCCCGCGTGCCCAGTGCCCCACGCGAAGCCGGGCCCCAAGCGAGGCGCTGGGTGGGGAGAACGGGCCATCGCAGCTCACGCCAAACGCCGCCTCTGCAGGCACTCGTGGAGACCGGCAGCAGGGCCCGCGCTCAGCTACAGCCCCAACTGCCCACGCCGCTGCCCCGCGCACGCCCGCGTGCGCCCACAGCTCCGCGCCCGGCCCCGACCCTCTCTCGGCTCCCTAGCCCCACTTCCGCCCGCGTCCCAGGCCCCGCGCAGGCCCCGGCGGCTCACCGCGGTCGAGCCCTTCTTGACGGCCTCCTGCGCGTACTCCACTTGGAAGAGATGGCCGTCGGGCGAAAAGACGGTGATGGCGCGGTCGTAACTCATGCCGGCGGGGCGGCGGCCAGGATCCTTCCGCCGCGACTCTCAAAAGCGCACACTCACGGCCCGCGCGCACCCGCGACTCCCGGCGCCACTGCGCCCGCGCCCCGCCCTCGGCGCCGTGACCTGCGCTGCCGGCGACGGGCGGCGTCAGGCGGCGTCGGGCGGCGTCAGGCGGCGTCGGGCGGCCACTTTTGAAGAGATGGCCGTCGGGCGAAAAGACGGTGATGGCGCGGTCGTAACTCATGCGCCGGCGGGCGGCGGCCAGGATCCTTCCGCCGCGATCGTCACGCTGCCGGCGCACGGGCGGCGTCAGGCGGCGTCGGGCGGCGTCAGGCGGCGTCGGGCGGACGTGCGGGCGCGCGCCGGGGCGGGGCCAGGCCGAACCACCGGTGGCCGGGGGTGGGAGACGGTGCTCCGGCGGAGGGCCGGGCGCTGGGTGCGAGGGGGCCCCCGGGGGCCACCGTTCGGCACTGGGCCGCAGACCCTTCTGCAGGGCGGAGCGGCGGCGCCGCAGGCCCGGAGGCTCGGCGACGGTGACGGGGCGGACGAGCCCATGACGCGGCGCCCCCCGCGCCCCCGCCCCCTGCTCCCCCGCCGCTACTGCGGATAATGAGCGCCTCGGGCCGCCGAGCGCAGCCGGAGTATCCACCCCGATGACCACGGGCTGAGTCCCGCGCAGCCACCATGTCCGTGGCCTTCGCGTCCGCCCGGCCAAGAGGCAAAGGGGAGGTCACCCAGCAAACCATCCAGAAGGTGGGCCGGGCCGGGGCGGCGGTGCTGAGGGCGGGCGCTCGTGGGGCCGGGGCGCGGGCAGCTGGCGGGCGCAGGGCGCGAACAAAGCCGGGGCGCAGCCGGGCGGCCGCGAACCCCGACGGCGGCCCGGTGCCCGTCCCCGCGTTCCACGCCTGCGCGCCAGTGGGCACCGGGCCGTGTGGGGGGCGCTCCCCGGAGAGCCTGCGCCAACTTTGTTGGGGCGGCGGGTCCCTCGGGCCGGGGCACGGGGCGCTGGGGGCCGGGCGGACGCTGGAGGGTGCCGGCCCCCGAGCGCGCTGTCCTCCGAGTCCGCGGCGCGCGCTGGGAACAGTCCTGGGCCGTGCCGGGCGCACGGGGACCCCTCGGGGCCGGGGCCGCGGCGAGGGCTCGTCGCACTCCGCAGCCAGTCTCGGTGGCGAAGGCGGGGGGCGGGCGACACTCGCTTTCTGCGCTCAGCTTGGCGAGTGGAGAGGGGCGCGGGCCGGCCTCCGGGCGCACGGAGATGGCGGGGCCCGCAGCCAGGGCTGCCCCTTCTGCCGCTGGAGCGAGGCGCGGACGATGAAGGCACAGGGGGACGCCTCCCAATGCCCATTTGGAGGGCATCGTTAGGCAGCTCGGCCCCGTAAGAAGCGCACCGCCCGCCGGTATCCTCGCGGCCACGCCGCATTTCAGCGTGACACCCTCCCCCGCCGCCTCGCCTAACAAACTTGATGGATTTGCTCCACAACCTTTCCTCTAGCTCCGTAAGTTCGGCCTTGTGGATTTCAACAGACAGCGTTTACAGGGGTTTGGGACACCGTTATCCAAAGCCCTAAGTTTTGAAATTGAGACTTTGCATTTTCTGCTGTTTTTCGGTAGAAGACAAATTCGGAAGAAAATCAGCATTAGCCATTCCTGTTTCAGTTGTCGCAACATCTTTTGGAGTGACATTGGTTTTTTCCTAAACTCCGACTCCGTCTTCACCCTGGTGGGATTGGGATAAACAGTGGTATTCCTAGGTTCCCAGAAGCGGCTTGTCTCCCTAAGGGGGTTCACCTTGACCTTGACTGTGGCTCTTATTCCTTAATGACATGCCAGTCTCCTGTGGAAGTTGTCCTAAATCTATCCCCTATTTTGAGACTACCCTTGCTGTTGCTAGTTTTAGAAATTTGATGGTCTTAACAAATGAGAACCTTGGCCAACTCTGAACAGGAGAGATTGAGAATAGCAGAAACACAGATTTACAAGTGTGGCATTTTAATTTACGTAGTAGACACTTATGTGTGCTTACTGTATCCTAGACACTGTTCTAAGGGTTTTATAAATTTTAATTCATCCAATTCTTCATAGAAGCTACTGGCATCCCGTTTAACAGCTAAGGACGCTGAGGTCTAGGGAGGCTGTGCCTTGCTGGTAAGTGGACGCTGAAGCCTGGGGTGCTGAGTGCGTTGCTGGTAAGTAGCACAGCCAGGTGTTGAACCCAGACTGTGACTCCAGGGTCTGCTCTGTTGGTACCCCTTGATCTGGGAACATTTGGCCAGGCGGAGGTCAAGCTCTAGGCTCAGAGGCCAATGTTGGAACCCGGAGCATCTCCTGGCACTCTGGTTTTTTGGACCTTAGCAGTCATTGTTCCTGAAGCTTTACCTTTGTCTTCAACGTTCGTCCTGTTATTTGCACTGTGCACACACTTCCATTGAAGCTCCCCAAATTCTCCAGGTAAAAGTGTGTATTGAGGTGCTGCCCCAAACATCAGATTAGAAAGGAAGAAATGCACCTGTGGACTGTATGTCCCAGGGCAGAAACTCAGCCTGCTGACCATTGGAAATGGATCTTTAGTTTAGGCTGCTGACTTGGCCTGGTAGGGCCAGCAGGCTGCATATTGGGCTTGGTGTTTTGACAGTGAATATATTTACCCAGGGATCTTTTACTGGGAGGTGTGAGAAGGCTGAGAAGGGTGTGAGAGGTGTGTGTTCTATGCCTAAAACGTGTGCTGTGTCCACAGTGTGTGCTAGTAGTCTCATGCCGAGAGCATTAAGAGAAGCCAGGGACCCCTCTGAAACCTGCTTGGTAGTGAAGGGGAAGGAAGAATACAACTTGTCTTTAACAACATAGTGTGTGGGTGGGGATCTTCCAAGCCAACTTCTACTCAACCTTCAAAGCCTCACTCAAATGTTCCCTGTCTCATGCTCCCTCAGCCGTCATGTGGCCCATGTAGCACTTGCTTGGGCTCCTGAGTTCAGCATGTGACTGATGAATTCTTTGCTGATCCCCAGCCTCTCGTCGTGTCTGAGCACAGTTAGTGCTGAGCATGTGCCGGTGCATCTGTGACTCTGGTTCCATCAGTGGAAGTGTTTTGAAATAAGCAGATGCGTTAGTGTCCTGTGACTTCCTTGACACATTACCACAACCCAGGTGGCTTCAAACGACAGAAATCTATTCCCTCACAGTTTTGGAGGCCAGAAGTCCCAAGTCCAGGGGTCAGTTCCCTGCTCTTCTCTTGGCTTCTGATGGCTGTGGGCAGCCCTTGGTGTTCTCTAGCTTGTAGGTATATCCAGCCGGTCTCTGATTTCATCATCATCTTTTTTTTTTTTCTTTTCTTTTTTTTTTTTTTTTTTTTTGAGATGGAATTTCGCTCTTGTTGCCCAGGCTAGAGTGCAATGGCACCATCTTGGGCTCACAGCCTCCGCCCCCCACCTGCCCACGTTCAAACAGTTCTCCTGCCTCAGCCTCTTGAGTAGCTGGAATTACAGGCGCGTGCCACCATATCCAGCTAATTTTGTGTTTTTATTACAGACGGCGTTTCTCCATGTTGGCCAGGCTGGTCTTGAACTCCCGACCTCAGGTGATCCGCCCCCCCTACCCCCCTTGGCCACCCAAAGTGCTGGGATTACAGGCATGAGCCATCATGCCTGGCCTCAATTTCCCAGTTTTTATAAGGACTCTAGTCATTGGTTTTAGGGCCTGTGTTAATCCAGCAAGACCCCATCTTTGTTTCATTTTCAAATAGCTTGTTTCCAGTACCTCCCATGCGCAGGGACCGGGGTCCGGGCACAGTTCAGCCCACAAGAGTGCATTTGTGGTGAGGGCTAGCTCAGAGAAAGAGAGCCATGAGGCGGAGGCAGAGAGTCACAGAGGGTCCCAAACCTGGCCTGCATGGAGCAGGTATTGGGGGACCCAAAGTGGAAGGGCAGGGAGTGCTGGGCTGATGTGGGGAGGGTAGCTGGTGGTGACCAGGCAGCAGTGCATGGGTGAGATGGTCAGAACCACTCTGTGGCAAGCACCACAAGGGACATGACTGTGCTGGGGAACCCTGTGGAGGGGCAGGGCCATGTCACCACAGTGGCCCTTGGGCCTGGCTGGCTGTTCTCTGGCCACCAGCTGGGAACTGTAGTGTCCTCCTGTCCAGTGTGTGCTCCTGACGCTGCTGTTGGGGCTGGGGCTGCAGTGGCCACCACGGACCATGTGGCCAGACTCGACCCCTGGGTTGCCTCCTTGCCGCTTGGCACACAGTCATTGGTCAGTAAATGTGTTACTGTTTCTGTTAGTATTGGTTTTCTCATTGGTTTCCTTGGCCGGCTAGTAGCGGTGGTGTCTGCCCGTCTGCTGGGTGTCTGGATCCCCAGTGCCTGTTGCAGGGCAGGGTTAGGGAGAAGCTCTGAGGGAATGGGACAGGGCTGAGAGGAGGTGGGGCCCTGGGTCTGCCTGCTGAGTGGGTTTGGTGTGGGAAGACAAGACCTTTGTGGGGTGGGTTGGTGCCGTGCCCAGGGTCTGAGAGCCAGGAAGTGGTTGAACCTGGACCAGCCCTATCGCATGCCCTTGGTACCCAGGTGCGGGGGTGGGGCATGGGCAAGGGGCACACTTCTGGGTGGGGATGAGCTGTGGAGGATGGGGTGCACACCCAGCAGACAGTGGGCACCCTGTGTGCTCCCTCAGACCTGGAACTTGCTGTCTGAAGGAGCGCAAGCTAACTTGGCTAGGAGTGTTTGTAAGGTGAGAGCTGTCCTGTGACTGAATGGCTTGGGGATGCCAAGCCTCCCTTGCACGTAGCTGATTGACAGCATTCTTCCCGCTATCAGAGGCTCCCCCCACCTGATAAGGGGAGCACGGGGGCCTGTCTTTATATCGCCAGGGATGAGGGGTGGGGTCCCCTCATTCTGGAGCCTGGGCTCAGCCCCGGGGAGGGACCCCGCAGCCACAGGCCTTGCTTGGCCTCCTTGCTGTCTTAGGTCAGGTGAGGGAGGCGTTCTGCAAGGCCCTTGAGCCTGAGCGCTGTGGGCGAGGCAGGCAGGAGAAAGGCATTGTCCCAGAGGGAGCAGCCGCAGCCTGGCCTCTGTCCCCTCTGTCTGTAAAGCCTGGCCATACACCCTCTTGCTGGGCGCTCCTGAAGGTGCTCTTCCCAGTCCTGCTCAGCCTGGAGGGTGAGGAAGCATTTGGATAAAGACACAGTGCCTGCCCACTGCCCTTTACCCCTGACCTTTCCAACGCTGATGGGTCTCCAGAGTCCCTGTCTGCCATCCAGTCACTGGGTGTGGAGTCTGGAGGCAGCAGCTGAAGGCAGCCCAGGTCTTGCCCAGGTGGCGCTCGCTAGCCAGCGGTCCCGGATGTTCTCCTTGAGGCTCCTGGCCTTTGCACGGTCTGTGCCCCAGGCCAGTGGGTTGGAGCCTGGGCACCTGCCTCTGTGTGCTTGGAGTCCGAGGACAGATTTCCTGGAATCCCTGGACTGCAGATGGTGGAAGAGTCACGCCCGCCCCCAGTGGATGCAGGGGTCACGCCCACCCCCAGTGGATGCAGGGGTCACGCCCTGTGGCGTGGTACAGTGGATGCAGGAATGAACAGGCCCTGGGTGCTGAGGCAGTTAGCGGGCCGGCACTGATGGCCCCTAAGGCCTGTGGGGCCTGGGAAGAGGAAGTGCAGGTCTTCTCCTCTGGTCCAGGCAGGCACCTCCACTGCCTCCCTGCCTGTGATCACAAGAGAAATCCGAAAGGTTGGGAGAAGGTGCCATGGACGATTGCGGGAAGGAGTCTCCTATGATGCTGGTCCGATTCTAATTGGCCACCACAGTTGCTGTGCACAATGGGGACAGAAGTGGCCTATTTATATCCTCCTCGAATTGGAAATAGGTGTGGGAAGCAGGCAGGTCCTTGGTGTTACCAGGATGAGGATGGGGGCCATGGAACTGCAGGAGGGCAGGGTGGGGCAGGCCGGACTTCCTGGGCTCACATCCTTATCCCGCCGATGGTGATGTGTGCTTCACCTTTCTGTGGCTCAGTTTCCTTGTCTTTAGCAAGAGGACAGGGCTGTGACCTCCCTCCTAGCCTGTGTGTATGGGTAAGGCAATGCTTGGCAGCCTTGTAATTGGTCAGCTTTAGCCTTTGATCAGGCACGCAACCAGCAAGGAACGGCCGGAATTTATCCGTGGCATTCGGAAAGGGAGGTAAGGACTCCATTCCATACTGCAGGAAACCATCGCAAGTCCAGGGTCGTGTCGAAAAGAAAAGGCAGTGTCAGCACTTGGACGGGATGCACACAAACGTCACGTGTCGCTAGTACAGTAAGCGCGTCTTCAGCTTGGGAACTGTCAGGAGCAAAGTGATTTTGTTGTGCTGTGCTGTGAGACGCCCCAGAGCACCATGAGACTGAAAGGGATTGCCAAGGCGTGTGCAGATGCGGCTGCTGTTGTGTGTTAAGCATGTCTTCACATGTTCTTAGAGTCTTGGAAATTGCACATGCATGTCAAACACACAGTGGCGGGGCCATGAGGCAGCAGCCAGCTCCCCCCAAGGAGACTGCACGTGTAAATTTGGGGGCTCTTCTGAAGCCCACACACCGACTTCACATATTCCACAGTTGGGGGAGTGTTTGGAGGGTCCCATTGGCTTCCATCAGTGGAGTCTGTAGTGTCGGCTTGCTGACCTTGGGGGCAAGGACGGAGCAGCTCAGGCTGGGCTCAGGGAAGGAGAGCTGATGGGTCAGCGATGTCTGCCCCAAGAACAGGAGTGGCAGGTGCTAGCACAGGTGCCATTGCCGGCTTAGCCACCTGCTGATGCTCAACCAGCTCTCCCGTTGGCCAGGCTGGTCCCTCTCACACCTTGATGACTCCTAGGAGTTGATCCTGTGTCTGTGTCCACGCCATGCATGGGGAGTGCGTGGCAGCCCTGCGTGTAGTGGCAGAAGACAGGGAACAATTTCAATGTCTGTCCGAGGAGACTGAGTACTACGTTGTGTCCATGTTGTGGAATTCTCTGGAGCATAGGAAGCATTGAGGTGGATTTTTTTTTTTTTTTAAAGACAGAGTCTTGCTCCTTCGCCTAGGCTGAGGTGCACTGACGTGATCACAGTTCATGCAGCCTCGTCCTCCTGGGCTCAAGGGACAGGTGGGGTCTCTGTGCTAACAGAGGACAGTCTCCAAGATATTTGAGAGGAAAGGGAACTCAGTGGAGCAGCGGGAGTGGAACGTTATCAGGTGTGTGCAGAGTCGGGAGGGGAGTGCATGGACTCCATGCGAGATGCTTCCAGAAGAAGCAGAGCTGGCCTCTGGGTGGGAGGAGCCAGGGGTTCCTCCTACAAAATTAAAAAGGTTCTGAAAGTCTTTGTAATTAGAAAGGACAACCACGAGGACACTGGAGGTGTTTCTGCCCAGCGTGGGCAGTGAGCCTCAGAGCCCCAGGCCGCCTCTGTGTCCGGCTTCCAGGGCCCCACACAGGTTCGTCACTGGGGAGAGACGGTTCTGCTGAGAGCCCCTCACCGAGGTTTTTGCCTGGCAGCTCCAGCCCTTCCCCTACTCTCTGTGGGCTCTGGGACCCCAGTTGCTCTCCGTCCCCAGTTCTCATCCTCACTCCCTCGCCTACCCAGTCAGGATCCCACAGCGGGGCTTCAGCAGTCCCAGGCCCCATCCTTGATGCCTGGCTGTGCCCTGGGCCCTCCAAGCCATGCCCTGTATCCCCCATCAGTCCCCGCCTGCCAAATCTGGTTTCTCTGCTCAGCCACATGGTCCATTGCCATGGCCGCAGCTTCTGTGCCCCTTGGGTTCGTCTCCCTGTGGGTGCTGGGCTTGGCCCTGGGCATCAGCCAGCCTGACCAACAGAGACACGTTGGGGCCGCCCCTCAGAGCCTGAAACCACAGGGGTGACAACGCAGAGAGGGAGTGGGAGGCCCGGGTCTCCCAGCTGCCCCAGCGGCGGGCCCAGCCAAGCCCAGCAGAAGATCCTCCCAGCCGGCCCAGAATCATGAGATTTAAGAAATCATGTTTCGACCACGCAGCTCGGGGAGGTTTGTTGTGCATTGGGTGATGGATGTACCCAGCCGCGTTGGGATCTTGGTCCAGCCAGCCTTTGCAGTGAGCACAGGCTTCAGTTGAGAAAGTAACCCCTGCAATGGGCACAGGACTCCTGTCCCCCAGCAGCCCCCGTTCCCCTCTTCTCCAGCTCCCCAGAGCTGGCCTCCGTTCCTGGACACGCCCCATGGCCTTTGCACATGCCTGTTTCCTCCGTCGGGCCGCCCTTCCCCCACCTCACCCATGTGCTCCTGCCCAGCCTCCAGCCCAGCTGGAGGTCAGCCCCAGAAGCCTGGGGACTCCGCTGCCTCATGGCCTTGAGCAGATGCTCACCCACGTTGGTCTCCACCTGGCCGGCCACCCATGCCTACTCCACCATAAGCAGAGCGAGCCGCACCTCCTCACTGTCACCTCCACTCACCCAGGCCTAGGATGGGCACGTCGATGAAGCATGCTCAGAGATGGGGTCTCACCACCCCTCCTTACTGCGGCCCCCAATGCCAGCCTCTGGCTCCTCCGGATGGAGTTGTCACCTCATCTTTGTCCCCAGCACCCTCACCTCAGGAGGC